TTTTGATCGAACAGCTGAAGAAGAGTTTACATCTGGGAGGTTTTAGTAATCTGCTCCTAATCAATTAACTAGCTTATCTACGTACAGAGCTGCAAACTCAAAAAACTTAGTCTAATCTTCGTGCTGAGAGGCAGACGATATCACGTGAGAGCCGATCGTTTTTACGACCCCCCTCAGACGCTCTGTGTTGTGATTGCACTGCACCGAACGCTTTCTACTTTTTTTAACCTTTACTCTCGTCATTTACAATCGCTTTCACTTCTTCCCTCCAGCCTTTCCCTGGTCGCTTCATTGCGCTGCTAGTGCTTCACATTTATGAGCTCATAAACTCTCCCGTATAGCCGTCCATTCACGTCAGTTGTCTATCACAGGACTTTTCGCGTAGTAAACCGCTCACTTCAGGTCATTTACCAGTGAGTGCTTGCAGATGATACCGCTTATACTGGTCGTCTTACTTGTGGCATTGTCAGTAAATGGGCATGAGGAGGACGATCATGATATTCTTTCTGCACATGGTGGTGTCTTCCGCGATTTACATTGGACCAACGACGAACTCGCTGAGATCTCAAAACTACACACTACCGCTTCTCATCACGAACTCATGAAGCTTGTCGCGGTGAGTCGCTGTTCGAGGTCTTTGTATTCACTGAGCTTTGAAGTTGAATGGTTTGCGGTTTGACGCAGTGAGCATCGCATAACATTTGCGTTGATCCAGCCATAACGTTCTTCTGCAGCAGAGTGGGTGTAGGGGTAGCAGCTGTATCTCGAATTCCTATACCCTTAAATTCCCTGTAAACCATCATTTGAACTTACCCGGGTGATTTCCCGCTGATACGTAGGGGGGTTTTCTGAAATAATGGTTGAGTTAACCGAGGTGTAGTGATCCACTGAGGCGAAAATGGTGTAAAGGCAAATGATCCGCTTACCATACACGTGGTTCAGAGGTACAATCTTAAATTTGTGTCGAAGTATTCTTAATTTTGTTGAGGGCTCCCCTCATGACCACACTTTTCCTACATTGTTCATTTTTCGTTTTTCTTTTTCTATGGGAGGTAACTTTTAGCAAGATCTCCCATCGCCACTCCTCTGCCACAGATTTCCTGACTACTTTGGGAATCCTCAGCTCCTCGTTGATGAAGGGTCAGAGGTGGTGAAGCGGCAGGTGGCGTGCATGTCATGTGGGTCCAAGTCAAGATCGTCTACCGACTCCAACCTAGCCTTCCATCCCTCCAGGGCAAATCGGTTGGTAACAGATTCTTCATAGATAAACATGTCCTACCATTCTAAATGAAAGTAGTACGTATGCGTATTCCAAAAGAAGGTTATAAACGCCAAAATATTCAAGCTCTGTCCTGCTGGAGTTAGCCCATTTTTTCCCTCTGAGAAATTAGACTACAGTTTGTGATATTTAAGTCTAATCAGTCAGAGTATAGCTTTTGATAGAATTCTCCCTCATAGGCTCCCCCTCTACTATGCAAGCCTTAGCCTCCGAAGGGACACGGTGTACTAGTGCCAGGTTTATCTGTTAGGATGAAAGCGCTGATTTGCACACCGGATCGAAGCCGTAGCTAATTTCTATAGATCAGACCGTCCTGAGCCACTACGATCTTGAAAGGAAGTGGAATACGTGCCGCATCTCAAAAGTGAATTGATGAAGGGCAAAAGCTCTCGAAGCTTCAAAGCTCCGCTGATCCGTGGCTTGCTTATAAGTAATGGCATCATCTTATTGTGAGAGGAGAAGGTGTACTCAATGTCAGTGTTTTCAAGGATTGCGTTTAGCTTTTTTAAGTTCATCGGGGCTCTTAAAATTTCTAAGATAAGGCGAAGGGGAAATAATCATAACCACACTTTGCCTTTACTTTATCCTTTGAGTCCACGTTTTGTCGTTGGACGCTAGAGCAGAGAGAAATCCGATGAAAGTAAGAGTGCCAGCATGCCAAAAAATATCTGAGCCGCATGTGTTATCTTTTCGAAATTTGAAATCTAAACCATGAAAAAGCAAAGCAGTGGGTGCCGGTCAATCCATCTTTCCGATGACGCATTCTACTTCCATTGAGAATTGCGAAGAAATACGGTTGTGATATGGCTTCCTCCTTACCGATTTATCGGCACCACCTAAGGTGCTGCTCATTGTTCCATCTTCCTAGACGAGCCGAGTGCCAGCCAGTTCACCGAAAAAGTACAGGGATAACCGGTTGGCGGGCTTTGGGACGTTCGATCCAGGATTCGATCTCCGCACCCTTACGTGATAACCGGCGCCCCTTGCCACCACACCACCTCTTCCTTTCTGAATTCCCAAATTGAAGCATATAAATGTTCTTCCACTCAACTTTGTCGTTTCAGCGGAAATTAATGGACTCGGATATTGACGACGCTTCCAGGCGGAGAATCGAGAAGTTCATGAAGTTGAAGCGGCCGCCGAAGTTCCTCGAAACGTTCCTCAGTGACACGGATAGGAATTTTGTAAGTGATAATAACTGTAACGATAAAACATCCAACCTTAAAATATCCAATCTAATTGTAACGATAAAATATCGAACCAACTGCAGCATACAGTCTTTTGTAAGACCTCAGATAAAGAAATGGTAGTTGATTAAATTAAATCTAGTGATAAGAAAATCTGAATATGTTTTGGAATTCAAAGCTTCTTCTTCGTCACATATGAAAGCATAGTGTTTCGAGAGACATAGCAAAAATACTATTTATACTTGAGCCTTCTAAATTCAATTTTGCTGCTTTTTTCGAATTAAAACAATTTTACACGGCAGCCGAGCATGTCACAAATTTTACTGTTTCAAATTGATTACTTCCTTGGGGCATCGGCGCACAGGAGGGCGTTGATGTTGACCTTATGTAGAGTCGCCGTAAGGCACTATCAGCGCCAATCATGGTCCTTTACCCCATAAGCTCGTCAGCGCCGTCCGCCGTTTTGCGATAACGCCCAATCAGTTGCGCAA